ATTATTATGCTTATTATACACCATATTCACATGCCCAAGTACCATCTGATTAATTTTAAAATTCCTCAGGCTACAGGACAGGCATACAGGCAACGGGAACCACACCGAGGAAAAGGCTGGGGTCTCAGCCATTTGACTCTGCTTCACTGTGGAATACATCACAAAAATAACACACGGCCACAGCCAAGCACCCGGCAAGGCAGGAGGCGGCTGCTGCAGCCGGCAAACGGGGGCACAAACGCAGCAGAAGCACACGCGAGGAGCGGGGATGCTCTGCCCATCGCCGCTCCCCGAGATCGGGAGGCACGGCTGGAGCACCCTGCTTACATTTAACGCTGCCAATACGCTCTCCGGCTCTAAAACATGGCAAAGGAACGACAACGTTACGTTCCTTAACTGCTTCACGGAGATATTTCATTACTTTGCCCTGCGTTTTCCCATCACTCCAACCCTCCCACTGCTGCTCCTCCGGGATATCCTCGGTGGCCGGTTCTCTGCTCCCATGGCACGCTACGAGCCAGCCCTCGGCCGCGGCCCTGCCTGGCACGGCAGGCACAGCGATCTGTCCCGTGCAGCCTCCCTCCCTCCTGCCGAGGCTTTTAAAGCACAACTGTTAGCGTGCCTTCTGGAAAAGGGTTTGCGGAGGATGAGAGGAACCCCGAGACGGCCCCCTCTGCAGCAAACGCTCCTTTGCGAGTCGTTGGTTTTGTAGCACTCAAGCGTTGCACATGCACGAGGAACAAGAAAACACGGTTACCTAACTGACGTCAACTTTTAATGAATTAGTATAGCTACAAAGGAGACAGAGACTCCCTTTTCACAAGGAGTCCCATGGGGAGGACAAGGGGCGATGGACACAAGTTACTCTTGGGGACATTCCCATTGGACACGAGAGGGAAATTTTTCCCCATGAGCACAGTCACCCATTGGAATGATCTCCCCAGGGGAGGGGTTGACTCTGCCACATTGGACACTTTCAAGACTCGGCTGGGCAGGGGGGC